CAGGTTGGGATTCTGGCACAGCGGCGGCGCTGTGCTCCGCCACTTGGTCCTCTTTCTCCGATGACTCTTCCTCTCGATTAGATCGGGTTTGGCTGGTTCTTGGTGGGAATCTATTTAAATCGTGGTTAGGAGGTGTCCTACAGAGAGAAACAAAAAAGTTTTGGCTTTACTAGGCGATTTTCAATCTCTAGTGCGGCGGCGCAACCGTGCTCCGCCACCTATTTCTTGTGGGTCGCGGTCTTCCTTGGCTTTTCCTGCATTAGAGTTAGTTTAAATGATCTAGGGTGATAAGATAGGAAGAACAAGAGGAAAAATCGTGTTCACCAGTGAGTTTTGGGTCTCCGGCATGGTGGCGCCGACGTCCTCCGGTGGCTGGACTTCTCCTCCAGCTGCCCTTCTTCTTCTTCTCCGGCGAAGTGTGTCAGCTAGGGTTAAGGTTTGTCTGAAGAGAGATTTAAATACCTCTCTTCTTCTAATCTTAGCCCTTCATTCTTGAAAATGTAGCGTGCAGATGGCCATTCGATCGGGCCTATTTGGGAAGCTAATCTGGGCCGTCCATCCGGGTCTATATGGGGTGAGAGGAACAGTTCGATCGGAGCCTATTCGGGGAATAGATCTAGGTCGTTCATGCGTGTGGGAGTGGACACAAACCGTTTGATCACCCTGGCAAGCGGATTGCCTACGTGGAGCCCGTGCCAGCATGTCTGCCACGTGACGCGTCCTGATTCGTCATGCTGCTGACGCAACCATCCTACATGACCCTTTTTTTTATATTTACGAAGTGGCCATATTTTTTCCATATTTCTTTCAAACATAACATTCCCCTATTTATAGTTTGATCTTAACTTCTGAAAATTGTTTTAAAAAAGTTCAAAATGCATATTTCTCAAAAAACAAATAAGTGTAAATAAAAATTAAAACTCTTCAATTTTATTTTTAGAAAAACATTAAAATTCAACATTTCGAGCCTAATTATTGGACTCGGAGTGTTACATCGCATGTCCAAAAAAAAATTTCAAAATCTAGCATGGATGGAGATATGAATGTGATTGTGAGTATGGAATGTTATAGACAATCTGTAAATAACAATAATGAAATTAATTTTTGGAGTGTTGTATGGTTCGAGGGTCTCAAGCTTGAGAGTAACAATATCTTAAATTTTTCATTAGATTAGAAATCAATTAGGCCCTAAATATAGTTTTGGCTCTTGGGGAGTCGTTTACTAATAGATTATTGAACTTAAAGAGGTTTTATTGAGAAAGAGACGCTTGAAATGAGTTTATAGTAGACAAAGAGTGGCTAATGAGATAACTAGAGGAAACGATACAGATCATTTATTTAACATTCTCTTCCACGTATGAGATTTTTTTTTTAAAAAAAAAAAAAGATTGTACAGGTTATTAAATTTCTGTTTTTATTTTACTTTGACATCAATTTAAAATTATTTTAAATCTTAAAAGAGGAAGTAGAAGAGAATGGACAATTGAAAAAAAAAAAATTTCCATTTCATTTTATTTCATTAAACAAAGAATTTTCAAGTCCAGAGTAAGAGAAAACTTCTTTCCTCTTTTATCTTCTTTCTCTTGCATATATATATATATATATCCACACATATCCTTATGAATAATGAAATAAAGGTACATTTATTTATTTTGTGGTAATTATAGTGAATAAGACCCACATACTATGATGAAGTGGTGGGTGGCAAGTAATTGAAAGGAAATGGTAACATAAGACCATGTGAACAATGGAAAGCAACACAACATAACACAAAGATATGTCTAATGTCCTTTTTTTTTTTTTTTCCTTTGGGTTATCTGCCAAAATCAAAAAAGCTTTTTGAATATGATCGTATAGAGAATAGACTAGAAAACAGAACAAAAAAGAAACCCTAATCATTAATTTAAACGAAACAAATGGGGTCGTTGGTTGGGGAGCTCTTGAGCTCTGAACATTAAATAATGTTTACAGACAAAAACACAGATTAAATATGCTAATTAAGCATTGGCTCTAAATTAATCTAATCCCATCTTTATTTTTGGCGTTTCTTATTATTATTATTAATTTTGCATAATATCTTTTCTCATTTCCCATCAATTAATTAAAAATGCAACCATCTAATACATATCTGTTTGTTGGGGCAAAATAGTAGATTACAGCAAATCTAAAAAGAAAATCAAATAAAACAATAAAAAAATGACTCTTCGATATTGTCACATAGGAGCAAATTATACCTAACATTATAAAAATAAATGAACCAAAAAAACAAGAAACCTGGCCAGAAAATGACATTAAAAAATATAATATAATTATATTGGAGATTGTTCCTTCTCGTGATATGTCACGTCCAGAGAGAAATGTTACGTGCTCTTTTGAATTTATTTATAGTTGCATTCGTTTTTTGTTTATACTTCTTTCTATATAGTTTTCATGCCAGAAGTGGAGCCATGTAAACTTACAAGAAAAGGAAATTGCCATAGTTTGTTGGATTCTCTAATATTTTCTGCATGTTTCCAATCCAAGTTTTACTGGCAGAGACAAATAAGCAATTGAATTGAGATCTAAAAATCAAATTAACCAAACCAGTTGAATAGAATGATTCTATTTATTGGATTTTTTAATTAACTCGGTAAAAAATCGAAAAATTGATCTCTCAATACCGACCAAAAATTTGATTAAAATTTTTTGTTTTTTCCAATTAATAATTATATATATAATGATTTAATGTTGACTCTTCTATTTGTTTCACTATTTAATACGTATATATAAATATGTTTAATTAATATTTTTAATTAATTTAAACAATCAGATTCTATTTACATTTATTAATTAGATAACCTGCAGAAAATTTACAAGTGATGAAAATTAGATTGCTTCCTTGCAATAATTATATTAATCTAATGTTCCCAAAAGAAAATGTTGTCTAACAAAACTAACTAGCGATTTCTGAGAGTAACACAGCGAATTTTCATAAGTACTTTTCTTTTGTCTAAAACTAAAATCACCTCAATAGTTTATCTGGTATCTAATAATAGAATTGGTAAAAATTATATGGAACCAAAGAATATTTCCACTGAGCACAAAATACTTACAATACATGTTACACGAACAACTATAAGCTTGTAGTTAACCTTTTCATGAGACTGGAGAACTGAAGAGTTGCAAAGTATTCTCACTTAGTAAACCGAGCAATCCTTTATGGAGTACATGCGTATACCTCACATCATGAATGGGATAGTTTATTGCTTTAAAGCGCTGGACGACGCTAAAAGAAGGCAAATCTCGCAACATAAGTTCACATGCAGACTCATCCCAAGATCCAAACAATTGCTTCTCATTTCCTCTATCAATAATTATAGTTCTTGGCAACCTAATGCTATCTACATTACTACAAGCTGAACCCAACTTCTGATAACAGCTACCACTAGAATCTCTCCGGATGTGAATATGAGAACCCTGTACCCAATTCCGCATAACAGGTGAAGGAGTAAGAGAAGGTTGCGAAAAAGTTATCTCATTAGGAAATTCCACTCGTGGGCGGTATGAAGCAACAATGTCATCACTGCTACGACAATATGCAAAGGATGTACACACTCCTTGATTCTTTGTTTCAGGAACCAAAAATGCCCTTCATAGAAAGGAAATTAAGAAAAACATGTTAGAGATACGTTTCTTCTAATGATAGGACCGTAGCAATACTACTAGGTGACTCCAAGATACTTAAAACTTCACCTAGATCCCCCAGTCAGCCAAAAGTAACAAGAAGAAAGGTTTGATGGAATTCCTCCAAGTGGGCACTTCAGAGTTGTCTCACACTTAATGCAGCAAGGTTTAATAAAATTGCAAGTGGAAAGAATGCGGGCAACCTACTATACCATGTTAAGCTTAAATAAAAGTGATAAAAACTCACCTTTCATTAGCACCACCGAAGTTCCACTGACACAGGCCAAGGGAAGAAGCAGACAATACAACTCTAGAGCCAGCGGAGAGGGCTGAATTTTGCAAAAGAGGGTGTACTGTATGTATTGGGTTGCTTGATAGCCCATTAAGGGATTCCATGGCTCCCGTAGTTTGGCGCATGTCAAACACCCATAATGATCCATTCTGCAAGAAGATGCGGCAAAAATAAAGGCAGTTCACAACACACAATACGGTTGCAAAAATGAAGTAAAAGCACTTGACGCTCAGACCTGTAGTCCAGCATATATATGATGAGAATTGTTGAGATCCCATGAACACGACCAAGCAGGAACCTGCAAGTACAACATTTACAAGGTAACAACAAAATAAATATAAAACAACCAGAATATTCAATATATATATATATACCAACCAGATCTGACATTTGCAAGAACATAATTAGAACTTCCTCAAAGGAAGGGAAGGTTGAAATAATGATTTACTACTCAAAGAGAAGACTGAAGCATTAGTTATTTACCGGGTCTCTTCTACAAGGTTCTAAAAAAAAAAAATTTAATTGAGTTCTAAACAATATACATGCCGGGATGTAGCAGCCAAGTGAGACATTCTTGGCCGTGAAATATGTCTCTGTTAACTGTAGAACAAAGCCATACTGGTATAAAAATAACTAATAAGAGAGCTTTAGACTCAGTTCCCTAAATGAAAATATGTTCCGACTTATATGTATAAGTCCTTCATTTTTTAAACATTGTTTGAATTTACTATCATTCATTTCCAACTTGTAGTATTCTAAACTATACACATATGATGGTGTGTTTCTTAGACTTGCAATCATTTTCTACACATTGTTTGAATTTTCAACTACCATGTGCTTTTATAAACATATATGAAATCAAGAATCCCTACGCATGTGCCTACAATAACAAGACGAAGATTGTCAAGATTTCTAATAGTACATCGGAGACAGCAGTAACAGCAGTCTCCATAGGTTTTCAAAACCAAAAATATCACGTTAAGGAAATAGTCATATCCTGAGAAAGACTATGCAACATTGCACAATTCTATCTTCCTTTGTGAAAAAGCAAAGTCGTAAGGCCATGTGATGTTACGCTCCAACATGTTAATGTTAATAAAATTTACAGATAGCAGCAAGAGGAAGAAGGTTTAGTCCTTAATAGACATTTTCCTTGGTTCTTTTAGGATCTCTTGCAAATGCTATTTTTATTATTAGATCTAGGAATTGGTTAATTAAAGGTAGAATTTAACTTCAATGAAGTGTGAACCTGTTCCAAATTTAGATACCCAAGGAATCTTTTTCTAAGTAGCCCTTGTTAAGATTGAAGGCTTCTCTCGAAGGATTCTCTCTTAATGAACTCTTAAGCTCTTTCACAACAAATCCATAATAAGATCCAATTCCATAATAACATTTGATTTAGAATATGGTTAGTTGCGATTTTTCAGTTGCTTTTGCAGTTACTTTTGGAAACAGCAAAGCTTTTAGCTGCAGCAGTTAAAAACAAGTTTTTCTTTTTAACAGAACTTTTCTGAAAAGAACCATCAATGGAGACTCAGGCAGATAATAAATTACTTTAATGTCTCACATTAGCATCCATTCATTCCGTTGTACCTTAAGACAAAGACATTTCTGTCAAATACTTAAAACAATATAAGCATGTTTCCTATGCATAAAGTGCAAAAACCAACATGAGTTTTCTCTCAATCTTAAGAATCTCTGACCCTTCACGAATTTGACTGAAATTCCCTACTTCACTCAAAATCTACATTTCCCTCTCTACAATATCTGTTAGTATTAACATTAATATATGATGTGCCATCCTAACATATTTTTTTGAAATAGTAAAATACCCTTATATACTATTATTACTATAATAAATTAAAATATTTAAATAATTTTTATTTAAAAAATTCCCAGCCAGTAGCTTGTTAAACACTCAGCCAAGTCATCAGATCATTTGCAGGGTAAGCAACTGGTGTGGGATGCAGATCCCCAGAAATAGGAGAGTTTTTGCTTAAATTCGGACTTTCTGGAGATTAGGACAAAATGAAGGGAAGCATTTGCAGTTAAGCCAAGATTATCAATCGATATCAAAATCTCAACCACTAAACAGCAACGGAAGGAAGCATTTTACCGGCAGATGATAGGAAAGGACAATGTTGTTGCTTTCCATGCTGAAACAAATTGAACAACTAAGTTACTATAATTATTCACTTGGGGGAGGTGAGGGGTTGCAATTGTCTTAAAATAAAGGTCCTTAAACAAGGAATAGTACCACCTGATAACAGATAATTTCTTCCCCATTGAAGCAAATAGCGCAAGGCCACTGCTAGAAGGAGAAATGTGCAGGTCCTTGATTGGCCTAGTACCAGGGAGCAGTAAAATGTCTTGAGTTTCATGTGGAGAAATCAAGCTCATCTGCAAATCCACAATTTTTAAAGTATTCAATTAAGCACAGTTCTCAAGTGGAAAGAAACAAAAAAAAAAAATCTGAAGGCCTACTTCAAATGGAGGCCCAGAAACCTTACTTTTGTAATTACATATGTTCCACCATCTCTAGAGAGTTTTCGAGTCAACAATATAATTTGGCCGGAAGCATCCACATCAAATAACCGTGCACCATCCACCCGCAATTCTTCCTACAAAAATATCAGGCCTTTGAAGTTTCTGATGTTTGGAAGTAAAACCTAACTGTCTAATATTAGGGAAAACACAAAGAAAAACAAAAAAAAAAACACACATACAACCCAATACTTTGGATTCAATCTATTAAACCTGCCATGGTTCAATTGTGAAAACTTACTCCTTACACCTTAATAATCACCACATTCTATCTTCTAGTCAAGTTAAGTTAAAAATAACAAAATCTTCAAAAAAGTTTCTCTTTCACAGTTTTCGTTCAAGTTATTCGTGCTCTCTCGCCATTAACTGCAAACATGGATAGGCCTCTATCCTAGCCAGAAGACATAACTAAAAAAGTGTATATGATGATCCTCCCTGAATTTGAAACTCCAGATATAAGACATCAGGTTTACAAGTTAAAATGGCAACAATATGGTCTTAAGCAATCCCCAAGAGTTTGGTTCGAAACATTCACAATAGTAGTAGAACAACATAGATATTCCCAATGTCAAGCCGACCATACACTGTTTGTAAAGAAATTAAACCATGGTAAATTATCTATTCCAATAATGTATGTTATGATATAATTGTCAATAACAAATTCACAAAAGAATTGATTAATTTAAACAAAACTCTGACCAAGGAATTCTAAGATTAAAGACCCAGGAAATTTTATATACTTCCTAGGAATGGAAGTGAAAAGATCAAGAGAAGGCATCTCTATGTCTCGAAGAAAATATATCATAGATTTACTTATTAAGTGTGAGATATTGCGATGTAAGCCAGCTAACACATTTATGGAAGCCACCAAGAGTTGGGGATGTCTAGAAAAGGTGCTCCAGTTCATAAAGGTTGGTACTAAAGATTAGTAGACAAATCACCCACCTCTCTCACACACGCGTCCAGATATTGAATTTTCTGTCAATGTTGAATGACAGTTCATGAATAATCAGCAACACGAGCATATGAAAGCTTTATCTCAAAAGAAAAAAGCATATGGAAGCTGTTTATAGGATTCTGAAATACTTGAAATTGACACTGGCAATGGTTTATTCTTCAAGAAAGGTCCTAGACGAAAGATAGAAATTTACAGTGGTGAGATTAGGCAGGATCTATCACAGACCAAAGATCAATATCTGGTTATTTACAAGGAAAAACTTGGTCATATGGAGAAGAAAGAAACAATTTATTATCTCTAGAAGTAGTGCAGAAGCTGAATGTCGCATTGGCCAATTTGTGAAGGTATTTTGATTAGAAGGTTAGTTAAGGAACCAGGAACTAACTTAAAAGACCCTATGAAGCTTTTTTGTGATAATCAATCTATTCTAAGTATTGCTAAGAATCCAGTTCACCATGACATAAGCAAAGATGTTGAGCTTGATCTTCACTTCATCAAAGAAAAAGTAGAAGGCAATATTACCCAAATGCTCGACACGCCAACAAAGTCACGTGCTGCAGACATCCTAACCAAAGTCTTGACTCAGGAAAACCTTGTAGACCTAAATTCCAAGCTTGGAATGAATAACATTTCAACCGAATTTGAGGGGCAGTGTGGAAATATTCTCAGAATCTAATTCTTGATTATGGAAATATTCTCAGCCTTTAATTCTTGATTGGATCAACAATCCAGCTATTATTAGTTATTCTTTTGTTGTTAATAGCTAGATTCGACATTACTAGATTTTATTTTGTTTCCTATTTTACTGTAAATTATTGGTTAAACTTTCCTCTAAAAGAAAAGTAATTAATTGCAAAGTATATATATTGTCTATCTTCATCCCTTTGAATATAGAAATTTCTTCCTTTCCACAAATATGGTGATAGAGGTGTATGTGATCCGTGAAGAGCAGGAAAAAGGAAATTTCTAGAAACTTACATGTAGCAAAAATTGGCAATTTGAGAAGGGGAAAGAGATTGCTTGTTCCTTTGTTATGATTTAGAGAGGTCTTAGCCCTTACGGAGGTCGAACCTGACACAGGAATCACTCAGTGATGGTAATAATAGCGACGGAACCAACTGATGATTGTGGGTGTTTGAAGGAATAGAAAAAGCTGTGGAAAAGGGGAAAAAAAAGCCAAAATGGAAAGGTGTTCGAAAGGTAGTGGAAGGGAGAAGAATAATTTTTGGCTTTTTTTTGGGTTTTGACTGGGGAAAAACACAAAGTGGGTATATATGTCTCCTAACTAAAGAAGGATAGCTGTAGGAGATGAAAAAGTGAAAAAAATAATAACAATAATAATTCGTGAGAGCTTATACGGTCCAAAACTGGATCCAACCAAAACCAAAAATGACCTTGATCTGGATCAAAGACCGGAACATTTAAGAATCAGTTTGACCTGGTTTTAACAGAATTTTCAGGTTTGGAAGTTCAAACCAAATGGACCAGTTTTCTGTGTCAATTAAAAAAATAAAAAATAATAATTTATATCCTCTTATTTGTTGGTTCTGCCAGGTTTATACATTTCACGCACACAAATCACACATGCACCGCCCACGTAAAGCAGAGCAGAGGAATGGAGTTTAGAGACTGTTTCCTTAATACCTATCAAAACCATCCGTGCTCAAGCAGAAACAATGACAGGTGAAACAGTCATAAAGATTAAACAGATAAAGCAAGATACAAGGAGGGGCTGACCATAAAGGTGAAGCTAAAGAGCAAAGAGTGAGGAAAATGTGATATACCTGAGATATGAAGTTACAAGAAGGTCCTTCTGTACTAAATATTGCATGGGATTTATTTCCTACAAGACACACATGATATTATTGCATTGCATGGCACAAAAATTATTTTCATATTTACAGGGAGAGACACATCTGAAAACATCAAGCACATAGAAAGAACCTATTGATAATGACCTCCAATGACCAAACCATTAACTTCATTAGAGAAAGGTTCAAATAAAGATTCATATTTTTTATGAAGCAATGAATCACACACTGAAAAAGAGAAAATTACCAGATGCAGATTGTCCAGAACTGTGCCAAGAGGCTCTAACCAATCCCGATGGTCTGCACTGCCATTCTTCTGATGAACCTTCCAACTGAGTTGCCCTCTACAGAGCCAAATGTCAAAGTCAAACATGATAAGCAAAAGGCTTTCATAAAGATATCTAATAAGTACTTATTTTCTATCAGAATAAACCTTCCAAATAGTTTACAAGTAACGCCATCAACAGAATTTAGAAATACAAAAAAATAATCAAACCCAATATTCCAGCTCGCCAATTACTCCGTTCAGTGGACATGATCAAAACATGCATGCACCATGGAGAAAAATATAAGCAGACAAACAACACAAACATAAAGAAAAAGTTACTTCAAATATCACTGCTGGTAATTTCATTCACATAAACATTATGAACACCAAATAAAGATCTCAAACTCAGTAGTACAAGGTTATCTCTGCTAATTATTCAATCAACTTTACAACATAATTTTTTTTATTTGTCCGAGGAAAAAATGGTTAAAAAAACAAACAATAGACAGAATCGAAGAATATTTGACTAAAACAGGTACAAGAAGACACACAGAACTGGTTATAAAGACGCCAAGAAAGTACATGCTGGAGTAGAGAACTCAGACCATGCACGTACTGTTATAAAACATTAGCACTGAAGAAACCTTGTAGAAACTGTTTGTAACGAAAGTGTCAAGCTAAAGAAATGACACAAGATACTCACAAAATATTAATAAAGCAGGATTCACAATTCAACACTATTCAGTGCTTAAAACTAGCAATAGCTTTAGAAACGTGTACAGAATAGAAACTTAATTTACATCGCATACATCTAAAAGCTGATTGACTCTCAATTGCAGCTCCATTGTGCTCTTTCTCGATTCAGCTTCCTTCTTGCACAAATCAGCATTCTGAATACGATAGAAAGCCATTAATTTCCTGGCAAGATATGCAACAACTAGCATATCCTAGCTTCTTACACAACAGCAACTGCTCACAGAATTACAGCGGGAGGCAAAAAGAGAGATATTCATGCACTTTGCAAATAACATGTTTTAGATGATCTCTAAACAGTTGTAGTTTGAACTTATTCAATTTTGAATTCTACGGTTTATCTTGTGACACTCCAATATATGAATTTTAGGTTTTGTCATTTTACCTACTAGTTTTTAGAGGACATCTGTGCTTAGATTTCTAAACGACAGAGAAATTCAAAGTTAAAAAATCAACATTTGGAGAAGAAAACCAAAATGTTACAAAATAAGAGCCTAAAAAACTAATAATCTTATGTAAAATAAAAAAATATTTAATGCACTGATAAGTGCCATAAGTTTCAAGCTTTGTTCAATTGAGTGCCTCATATCTTATTTTGAGCAATTCTTTTTGTGCATCATGTGTTTAGACTTCAAATAGAAGTTTGAAGTTAAATAAACCAAAATTAGGGGAAGAGGAAAAAAAAAAGGTTACAAAATAAGAGCCTAAAAAATATGTTTAGAATGAAAAATGTGAAATCCACTAATAGTTGCCATAGCTTTCAAATTTTGCCCAATTTAGTGCCTCTAGTTTATTTTGACCAATTTTTTTCAGAAGAAAAAGAAGAATTATATTAACATAGCATCAAGAGAGCGCAACCCAAAAAAGAAACAACTTTAAAAACTACCAAAACATCAATAAAGCCTCTTAGATCCTCAACAGAATTCAAAGGATGGTCTTAATAAGAAAACAAATGATTTGGAGCTACAAATCTTTAAACCTATCAAAATTGTCTCTATATCCCCCAAAGCCCTTATATTCCTTTACTTCCAAATGCTCGTACGTAATCAAGGTGATAGAAAATAAGTTCATCAGCTTGGATGTCTATTCAAACCCAAATTTCATCCACAACTGGACCAGCCATCACCCGGCATACACCAAAAAAGCTATAGGCAATTGCCTTTATTTGAGAAAAAGAAATATAGGCACCAAAGGAAGATGATTAGGTGATTCAACAACGCTCTTACAAGATAACACATTTCAGTATTTTCCTCTTCTTAATCAGGTTGCCTACAGTAAGAGTACTACACTTCACTGCTTCCCAATAAAAAAAAATTACTTCAGAGGAGGCATATATCTTCCATATCTGCTTCTAGGAAAAATTTCTTTGCCCATAGCAATGTTTGTTAAATGGGAGGAAAAGGACTTCAAAGAAAATTCACCTTTCAGTCTCAATTTCCAAATTAGCTCATCCAAAGCCTCATGCAGTTTAATCATAATATGAGAGAAACCGAAGAAAACTGACATATTCATTCACCTTCCAATCATTGAGGATTCTGACAAAGTCCACTCCCAGAACCCAGTGGCTAATGCAAAGAAAAGACTCTACCATCATGACCTCTTACAGCAAGGCAAAGAGTATAGCATGAAAAAGTGCTACTTTTGAGACCTCCTTCACTCCCGTCATCCATTCAAAGCATCACTCTTTAATCCAACCCTCCTCTCCATTTAATGAAACCATAACACTCTTCCCTCCCCAAATTGATCTTCTTCAAAAGACTCACTCAATAAAGGAATTAGACATCCCAAAATATTCTTGGCATATTTTTTTTATCATCCTACACAATAATCTCCAAAACCACTTAACAAGAAGCACTTTGTTAAGGTCTCAAACCGATATAGTCCTCCCGCAATAAGGAAGCTTAAACTTATGCTGAGCCAAGAAGCAAAATATATTCCTCTGAACAAAGTCACCCAAAAGGAATAGACACTAAATCTGAATAGACATTAAAATCTTTCAAGCTTTTCAGAAAACTAGCAGGGCTAGATAATAGCAAAAGATAGTAAACTGAAAATTTTGGTAGTGTACCCTTCATAAGTGTCAGCCAACCCCTTTTGGAAAGTAAACCCCTCTTCCACTCTGTCAATATGGTCTAAGACATAGTCACAACAAGGTCTCAAATGGAGAGATCCTTAAACCTATTACCAAGGGCCAAACCCAGATACATCAAAGGGAGACTTGCAACCTTGCGTCCCAGAATCCTGACTAAAGAGGCTGACTCCTGCCCTTCTCCAAGCAAGACCACTTCCACCTTTCCTCAATTGTTTTGATCAAGGAAGTGCCTATTGTTTAGATTATATCCAAAATAAGTGTCCTTATTTTAGGTTGTATTCAGTTAAGCATCCATAGCAACACTTCAACTAGAAAATTTCCATGTTAGCATCTTTATGTACCATGTGCAAAATATTTTCCAAGTTAACATCTTAAAAAATAAACTACTTTTCATTTTATTACTAAAATAAAAATGCTAAAAATAAAAAATAAAAAAAATCTTCTAGTGTATTAAGATCAAGTTTCTGTTTCAATATTATAAAATATATTACAGAATATTCTCATGTAATTGTTAATTGATTTCCTATATATATTAGCATTAATAAGGTGATTTACATTAGAATATATAGATCCCTCCTCCGTGTATATATATCCAAACCCATTGGAATAAAATAACAAGAATACTTTTTCCCTATTTTCTCTGCTATTGTACATGGTGTTAGAGCAAATGTTTGAGGGAACCAGGTTATAGAGAGACTCAGATCAAGGGGAAAGAGGAAAACAGATCTGGTGTTTTTCCTTTCATCCCCGACACCACCTGAAACCAGAAAGACGTACAGCGGTCCAGGAAACCAGAAGGCTGAAGATGGGGCACAACGACCAGATCTGTCCATTCCCTGCACGTCGTCGCGGAGGTAGACGGCCAGTGTGTGCAGATTGGACAAGTTGAACCGTGGGCGGCCTGGAAGGTGATCAAGTTTCGGTGCAACCAGATCCAGAGATGGAGACTCACGCGGCATCTATTTTTTGAAACCAAACAGCGGAAGAGAGAGTACACGTGCCAGAGAATAAGAAGACCTGCAGTGGTCCATTTTGCACGAAGGCGTTTTCCGGCATTCCTCACCAAATCCATGCCAGATCTGAGAGGGCACGCGGTTTTGTGGTGTTTTCGGTGAATAATTAGCAGTGCATGGCAGTTTCCAGCGGCGGCACATGGTGGTCTGGTGACAGCGTCTGTTTCAACGCGTGGAGGTGCGTGTTGTCCACTGGTTACGCGCGGTGTTCTGTTTGTGCAGTGGTGTTTCCCTGCGAGTGGTTGTTTATTTCTGATAGTAGTAATTCTCATTATTTGGTTTTTCATTTGCTTCGGTTGTGTCTACTTTAGGTGTTTCTAGTCGTTTCCAGTGATTTTCTTTTTATCTAAAGTTTAATTCTTATGTTAAAATCAGTGATAATATTGTTTGTTACTACTACCGTAAACAAGAACATATAAAGCGATACTGTAAGAAATTGCAAAATCGCAATCGAAAAACATAGACCTCTAATATTGTTGCTACTACTGCTTCCCCATCTTCTGAGATAATGGTTATAATTTCAACTAATGAGTATGTTACATTCACTCAGCATTAGGAATTTTTGAATAAATTTACGACTCTTTCTCAATCAGAGAAAAAATGTCTTATCTCCTCATCAAATAGATAGGTGATTGATTCTGGTACCACAGATCACATGACAGGTAATCCAAATATCTTTTTAATTTTCGACCACACAAAGCACCTTTTTCTGTAACAATTGCTGACGGGTTGACTTATAACATTGTGGGTTTCGGAACCACAAAACTAACTTCATTTATTACCCTGTCATATATATAAGTCTACCTAAACTTGCATTCAATCTGATTTCTGCGAATAACCTTACTAAAGATCTAAATTGTTGTATTAAATTCTTTTCTGATCACTATATTCTTCCAGATCTTATGATGAAGCAAATTATTGGTAAAAGATATGCATTATATGGTCTCTACATTCTTGATATCTGTGTACCCCGATCGGTTGTTTGCTCTACTATTGTTTCTTCATTTGAAACATATTGTCAACTGGGACATCCTTCTCTTCTTATGTTGAAGAATCTATGTTCTCAGTTTCATGATGTACCTTCACTGAATTGTGAGTCATGTCGATTTGCGAAACATCACTGTAGTCCGTCAGGTCCAAAAGTTAATAGACGAGCTGAGTCTGCTTTTAAGTTAGTTCATTCTGATAGTTAGAGTCTTTGTCCTGTTCTATCCAAAATAGGGTTTAAGTATTTTGTTATTTTTATACATGATTTTTCTCGAATGACTCGAATATATTTTATAAAGAATCATTATGAAGTATTTTCTCACTTTTATATTTTTTGTACTGAAGTCAAGATCTAATTCAATGTTTTTGTATATGTATTGAGAAGTGATAATGTTAAGAAATATATTTCAGATTCATTTCAAACTATAAGACTCAACACGAGATTCTTCACCAATCCTCGTGTGTTAATACACCCTCTCAACGTGGAGTCGCTGAGAGAAAGAACAAATACTTATTTGAGACAGCTCAAGTCCTCTTGTTCCAAACGCAAATCTCTAAACAATTCTAGACTAATATCATTTCCACAGCTTATTTCTTGATTAATTGTTTATTATCTACAGTACTCAATGAAGATGTTCCTTACAGTTTTCTTTTTCCAAACAAATCTTTGTTTCCAGTGCAATTTAAAATATTTGTTAACACATGTTCTGTTCGAGATGTGCAACCTAATGTGACAAAATTAAACCCAAGTATTTTGAAGTGTGTCTTTTTAGAATATTCTTGCCTTCAGAAACAAAACCTGTGCTACTCTAAATCTCAACAAATATTTGGTATCAACTTATGTGATCTTTTTAGAGAATACACCGTTCTTCTCCTCATTATCCAATTCTACAAATCAGGGGTCGGACGATAAGTGAGTCATCTATAGGTTCACACCAATTGTCTCTACTGAGCAAACAGATAATAATATTTCTCCAGATGATGTATCCCTATCTCTACTTGAGTAAGCTGATGATAATGTTGGTGTGCCTTCTACCCAAGTACCACCATCAATTGTTGATATTAATTACAGAAGACAACAGATTAATGATACATTTCTTGCACCATCTCCCTCGTCATCTGATTCTACCCCACTGAATCTTAATCTTCCCATTGGTTTTCGCAAAGGTAAACATCAGGCACCATTCCTAATCTAACTTATTCCATTGTTAATTTTATTTCATATGATCATTTGTCTCTCTTGTCTAACTCTTTCATTACTTCTATAGATACAATTTTCATACCTAAGATAGTTAAGGAAGCTTTGAATCATCCTGATTAGTATAATGTAATGTTTAAGAAGATAAATGCTATCGATGAAAATCATACTTGCGATTTGGTGAATTTATCTAAAGGAAAAAGAGTCATGGAGTACAAATGGATGTTCTCAGTCAAAGTAAACCCAGATGGTTATATGACAAGATTTAAAGCCAAACTTGTAGTAAAAGCTTATACTTAGACTTATGAGGGTGGATTATTCTGATACCTTCTCTCCGATAGCTAAACTTACATATGTCCGCTTATTCATCTCTATTGCGGTATTTCAAAATTGGCTCTTACACCAGTTGAATATCAATAATACACTCCTTCATAGCGACCTTTTAGAAGAAGTGTATCTGCAGCAACCATCTGAGTTTGTTGCTGAAATGGACTACGGAAAAGTCTATCATTTGAAAAAATCTTTACATAGTTTGAAGTAGAGTTCCGATGCGTGATTTGGCAAATTTAGTGAAGTACCTTTAGAATTTGGGCCGAAAAAGATCTAGTGTGACCACTCGATCTTTTATAGACAGTCAACAGCTGATCTAATACTTTTTATTGTCAATGTTGATGATATTGTCATTACAGAAGATGATTGTGCAAGAATATCCTCTTTTAAGTCATTCTTATATACCAAGTTTCACACTAAAAACTTGAGTCGGTTAAAATACTTTTTGAAAGTAGAAGT